CCCCCGAATACTGACGGGTATTTCGCACATTGACTGAAACCCACCAGTGGTCAGGGTGTTAGACTCCGCCCATCTGCCTTGTGGCAGCCGGGCAGGATCCCCAAAGTGGTTCGAGGTTCCAGACACAATCAACCATTTTATTGCACTCGCTCATAAAAAAATGCATCGTTAATTAATTTTCTCTTCTGTAGTTGCAGCCTAATGCAGGGGGATTTTTCCCGCAGTTTCATCAACAGGGCAGAAGGTAAAGAACGAGAGGAAGTGATTCAGCATGGAGCTGCAGCCATAAGAGGCCCCTCCTTCAGGGCAGTGGATGCTCATGTGGGACTCGCACCACCAACTATCTCTATGTTTGGTTTGTTTGGACTTGAAAGCACTCTTACTTACACTTGTACTTGTCCTGGATGTCAGCTTTGCAAAGGCACACCAGACCTGTCTTGAAGGACAGGACCCGTACTTTCCCATTGCGACCACTAGGGGGAGACAAAAGGAATTGATGAGGGGTTAATGCTCCATTGGGGTACTTTAAATTCTGCACCTTGCTGTAGGCCGACAGCAAACTGCCCACGGTAAGGTGTGGACTAGCACACCTATACAAATCGGACCCTATACTCATAGTCATGGATGTGCTGCAGTAATCACTGCTGCTCACTGCTGTCCGGCAAAAAGAGCAGCTTTTGAATGCTGCACTGTGACCTTGGTCTGACCCCCCCTCTCCACAGAGATCAAAATAAACGAGTGACCCGAAGTGTTCCGACCCCCCAGGTATGAACTGCAAGCACTCGACCCCCAGTCGGTACTACAAAGGTCGGTGCAAAAAACCAGCCAGGCTCAAAAGAGGAGAGTCTGTTCTGCACAGCTCTGTCTCCATTGCAAAATGATGTTTGTTTATTTCTGTTATTTTGGGATTATTTGCTTTAAAGGCACAAATAACAGAAGAAATTATTTAGATTTATTCAGAAAATGGAAATGTCAAAAGAACAGAAATTCATGACAGACAGAGAGGTTCTATTGCTCTCGTATGTGTGCTGTGCTTCTCTGTGAAGATACCCTTCAGATCCTCAATCAGAGTCTTGGCAATAAGACAGGAGATCAGAGGGGGTGGGAGGAGGGGGTTGATTCATTTGCTCGGGGAGAATTCCTTCCCTGTCAAAGGGCGTGACTGCATCCCAGGTTCACGATCTTTGCTTGGAATCATAGAGCGGAGTGGGAAGGAGAGGAACTCAAACATAATCACCAGAGGTCCAATGTGAGCACGTTTTGGGGGGGGGGGGGCTGGTTGTGGGGAGTGTGTTTTTGAGCATGGTTAATTTTTAAAGGATCAGATGAAACCACAAGCCGGGAAGCTGTAGGCGGGGGTGGAGGCGCCGGAGGCGAGGGGAACGGGATCGCCAGACTAATATAAGTTATGTCCATTACATTATTCATTACAGCCTACAGACAGCTCCCGTGTTACAATATGTAAGGGTGAAGGCCGGGAAGTGAGCAGGCAGTAAAAGCAGGGAGGGGCTGAGCTGAGAGGGATAGCAGGGTGAGGTGGTAGGGCAGCTAGCTAAGGTATATGGGAGGAGAAAGAGCAGGGCTTACCCAGTTACTGAGGAGGAGGGGCTTAACTGTAGTGCACAATAAGCATCTGTTATGGCACATGCATGCGAGGGACATGGGTGCGGATAACCTGACATTCATTAAACTGCTTGCTGAGCCGTATATAATAGGGTGGAGCTTATCAGTTTTACACCCTGAGAATCCAATTGAGGCACTGATACAGCAGAAGGGGGAGGGGCTGAATCATCCATTTAAAGAATGCTTATAGGAGGGGAATGGGGGCAGGGCTTACCTGTCATATACATTGAGCAGCCAATTGAGGCACATGTCAACACAGAGCGGGATGTTGATGAGGGCACCGCGCTCCTCTTCCAGTCGCTCATACAGGCCCGTCAGTGCGTGGATCACCTCCACCACGTCCATGCTGTGTTCTAGCTGCTCCAGCGCCTGCTCCCGGAAGACATCCACCACACTGGCCAGCAGCAGTGAGTCCACTGCAAAGACGCAGTGACGCAGACAATGTAGACGATGCAGATTACACAGGCGATACAGACAGAGAATACAAAAAAATCAACTAATGATGCTTCCTGCCACCTGTATGAGTGCAAATGCTGCTTCTCTAAATGGGCATTCATTTCACTGCGGAAGATATGGGAGGGAGGGGACCGCCAGCTGCTGACGTGATTAGACAGTATGCAGGTTTGTAGGAAAGCCGTAGGAGAAGCAAACGTCCACATGGTGATTTTTTTTTGTAATAAGCTCAGGTCTGCAGTTAATGGGGGCCTGAAAGAGCCCTGTGGTTACTATGGCAGTGAGGTAATTAAGTCATATAATGATGCAGACCAGCAGGAAGAGAGAGGAGGGGTGACAGGGCTGGGGTACAGCAGGGTGGGGGCTGGGGGCTTATCCACACAGCATTCATGCATGTCATCAGAAGAGCCACCGCGGGCTGACTGATGAAAGGCTACCCAGGGTCTGCACACCAGTCCCGAGGGCTCTAGTACCTTGGCCATCGTATCTGCTAGGTGTGGTGGTCCTGGGGGGGGGGGGGTCATTTATCACCCTACATTGGGGGTGTATACATACGCCTCAAGGCTTTCTGCACCCGCCGCAGTTTCATAGCCGTCCGGTACGCAGAGAATTTGATGTCGTTCAGATCCGCTGAGGAAGATTATGGGTAAACAAAAGGGAGAGAGCAGAATACTGAAAAAAACACCATTGACAAGCTACACACATCCGCATATGCACAATATGCGTCACCATGTCACACAACCGGCCATCTTGCCGGGCTCCCAAGGCTCCAATGGTGATCAGGTAAGTCATCAACAAGATCTTACCAGCATGCATTGAATTCTACATGGTGTCACTACCTGGACACCCAGAGTCAGAAGGCATTAATTACGGAGCGGAATACTATTTAATCATGATTAATAAGAGATGGGTTGAAGAATAACAGGGCTGGTTAACATGAATGGCACTCTGCTCACTGAGGGACCTGAAATATCCTAGACTACTGAAGTTTAAGGTGAATTCGGGATTTTGGTCCCTGCACCCCTCCCCCACTCCTCACCCAAACACACACTTCTGTACGCAAACAGAGAGTCTGGCAGAAAAAAATCAACCTTACACAGCGCCTGGTACAGCTCTGTCATCTTTGGATGGTCCCAGCAGGTTGTCTGGGCCTGATGGCTAGGGAACAAGAGAGAGACGTTAGAGAGCACATGGGCCTGTTAGGGGTACCGTGTGCAGCTCTCTTCACCTCGAGTGAAGTGTCACTCCAGATGGGTCACATGTGTAGTTCCCTGGGGGTAAAATGAGCTGCCGAACCACATCCAGTCATCAGACCCCCTCTTCACCTTCAAGAAACACCTCAAAACCTGTCTTTTGATCTAATGTCACATTTACTGGCCCTTGCATAGTCTTATTAGGGTCTTCCTTTGTTGAATAGTTATATGTGAAGCTGTTGTGTAGCTCTTGCTCCAGTACTGCTTACATTTGTGCCTGGACATTCACTGGAAGCTCAGCCTAATCGACTCCCTAACAGCATTTACGTTTGCAATGTGCTATTTGCTTCACTTGTACGTCACTTCAGACAAAAGCGTCTGCTAAATTTGTGAAGGTAAATGTCACTGTTAATGGTCCAGGCACCAGAAGCACATAGCAGATTGGTGGGGGTGGGGGTGGGGGCACACAAACCACACGCATGCAGACAGCACCAGCTCCTTCGTAGGGGGCCTCACATCGAGTTCCTCTCTTGCCCAGGTGAGTAACCCCTCACCCCTGTGGGTCTCACCACAGCGCCCCCTCAAGTCGGTGGAGAGGGAACGTCCACCACCCCCCCCCCCAATCCAGAGGTTTATAACTATCCCACTGTATGGTCGTTTCGTTGGGGTTGAGAAGTCTGATATGCTGAGAAGTCACATTCAACCAAGCAAACCCAGGGAAGCTGGGAATATGCAGAAAAGTAGTAACCCCCAGGCTTGAAGACCCTTGGGAGACGGAGCGCCCAGCTGGTCATGACAGGCAGGGAGTTGGGGCCCCTTGTGCTGATGCTCCAGGGGCCGTGAGGGAATAAAGAAGCACACAGGAATAAACACATGCAAAGGAGCATGCGTGAACAGGTGTACATGGATGCCACACATACGTATGTCACATGGGGCTGCTGCCCCCTGGGGCTCATGCCACTGAGAAAACACAGTCACGAAAAGCCCCCTCCCCCCCAAGCAGACGCACTCACTTGATGTAGTATGGCACTTTGTTAGGCGATATGGCTCGCTCCCACGGCATCTGCACAGAACCTGTGGTGGGGGGGGGGGGGAACAGTGTTAGTAGGCTGCCCTGGCACTGCAGAGACCCACACACTGCTGCCCCCTACTGGAGATGGGGCCCAGCATTGCCTGGCTGCAGAAGTCAGCCAGCTGACCAATGGTTGGTAAGAGTTTACAGGTTCTTAGGCCAGGTTGCAGAAATTATATGGCGCTGACTTCTGGACATTTCTGTCAGAGAAAAGCAGCTCCACAGCGCCCTCTACATGCAGACACACAAGTTGCCCCTGGCCAGCACACGTGGCGGGCGTCTTACTGGAGAGGAAGTGCTGTGACCCAGGGCCAAAGTCCCGGTGGGCATCCTGCAGCTGCTTTAGCCTCTCCTCGATGGAGCTCTGTGCAGGAGAGATGGATGGACAGAGGGTGAGAGGGATGGAAAGAGAGGATGGGAGGGAGGGTGGGGGAGACACAGAGAGAAGGAGAGACACAGACGAAGCCTCAGGCTCACTGCATGGGAGGGGTAATTCTTTTACCACTTCATTCTTTTTCCCTTTCATTATCTCAGTTTTTAACCCTAACCCCGCCAGGGAATAGGCACTTGGCACGACCCCCACTTGCTCTACAATGTTCCCTGTTATCGCCGGGGAGTGGGGGGTACCGGGGCCCTAAGACTGGCTAATCCCGGCTTAACTCGCAGGGAAATGAATTTAGTGTGCACATTACAGCCAGGGAACGTCAAAACATGCGACTTAGTAAAGCAGAGGCGCAGAATGCGCTGACAGGGACTGGCAGCCCACGGAAGCATCACGGTGCGGCGCAGGGCTGCTCTCCCCAGATAAATCCACCTAACATTTAACAGCAGCAGTGCAGCAGCAATATCCCGATAAACTCTGCCTCCCAGCCCCTGCAATGTCGCATTTGTAACACAGCTGGACTGATGCAATGCATTATTAAATATAACAATATGAGAAAGAAACCACTGATATTAGCTTGTAATTGTATGTAATGTGCTGGGAGTCACAGAGTAGAGATCAGTCCCTTCTTGTGAATGATTCATGCGGATAATTTTCCATCAGTCATTTTGTGTTCATCAGAAGGATGGAGTGAATGGAGAAGAGAGGGAACGATCTGCCCTGTGTGTACTCCTGCCACTGGCCCGCAAAATGCTGCCTGTGCCCTGCAGGCGGAGTCGGCTGGAGGCGGAGAAGGGGAGGCGCGGCACCTCCTCATACCTGCAGGAGCTTCCAGCGGCTGTTGAGCTGCTCCAGGCAGCGGGCATTTTCCACAGTCAGGTGCACGTCCGAGACAGCCAGCTGATGTGCCAGGTCGTTGATGTGCTTCATGCCCTCCTTCACCTGAGTCAGCTCCTCCTTAAACAGCTGCGGGCGGGCGTGGCACAGTGGGGTCAAAGGTCAGTCCATCGCTCTCGAGCTCCACTAATATTGCTGGTCTCTGGTGGACTGTAGTGGTGTGGCCCAGGTTTCTGGTGAGCCAGTGAAGCTGAAGCCTATCCCTCTTAGAATGGGATGCCAGGCGACACAACACTGGAACAACTGGAGGATTAAGGGGTTTCACTCAGGGCCTCACAGTCAAGCCACTGTGCTGAACCTGGGATTCAAACCAGCGCCCTTCCCATCATAACCCGCCGAGCCACATGCCACCCCGAAGAAAAACACACCTATTGCATTGGAATATTTTTTGATCGCAGCAGCATGTCCCATTCGGAGCGGTGCACTGGCCTGTGTACCTTGGTGGCGTCGATGTGTTCCTGCAGAGCGTCGATGAAGAGGTCGCCCACGGGCTCCCAGGAGTCGCGCACGCTCTCGGCCTGCTGCAGCGCGCCAGCCAGCCCCCCCATGGCGGCCTGTGCCTGCAGCAGCTGCTCCAGTGTGCGCTCCATGTGCCGCTGCCGGTCCACGCAACGTGCCGTCAGCTTCTCCCACAAGTCGCCCGCCACGCTGGCCTGCTTCCACACGGCACGGCTGACGTTCAGGGCCCGTCGCCGTGGCGATGCATCTGCGGGGAGGGTCAGAGCCAAGGACAGATAATGAGTCCTCTGGGAGTCATGGTAACGAGAGAAGTCGGGGTGGGGGGTGGGGGGTCCATCTCCACATCACAGAAAGTCCCAAGTGATCAAGGCCTGAGAGCCTGTGGCTGCAGTGTTACAGGAGGGCAGGGTGCAGGGGTTGTATATTACAGACCTTTACTGTCAGCCAGCGTCTCCTCCACCTCCTCGAAGGGGTTCTGCGTCAGGAAGGCCTGGGCTGACTCCAGCACCGAGTAGATGAACGGTCCCCTGGACTTAACTTCCTCCATAAAGGCCTGCGGATAAGTCAATCATGGCGCAGTAAGCAGACATGTGACTCCCCCCGCCGGCCAATTAGGCAGCCAGTAGATCTATACAACTAGAAATGATATAAACGAGACACGGGAACACAAACATCCCGGAAGTAGGTAAGGAACAGCCAACGCGCCTCAGCAGACTGAAAATCGATCCGGTCTGAAGGTCTCCCATAGGGTTACTGCTAGTTGCACTGAGATGATTCATAGTTAACGACATGAACAGATAAGGAAGAGAGATGAATCAGTCTGCCCTATACAGCAGCACCCTGTGAATTAATGCAGATAGCAGAAATCCCAGCGGCGGGGGCATAAATGTCAGGGCTTTGCCTCTGGCTCCTCCAGACCGTCGCCTTCAGATGAAGCAGGTGGCACTGGCTTCCTTAGATCATGAACTCATTCATATTTCAATGAAATCCTCCTGCTTTGGAAGCTAATGATATTCAGGTCGCCATAGCAGCCCAGTCTGGGGCCCTAGCCGACCCCTAAGGAGCCGCATGATGTTAGCAAGATTCCGTCTCTGGAAGTCAAGATCCTGAAATGACATCTATGGATGATAGGTTGCTGTAGCCAAGTTGACTGTCCAGCCCGCTGTGAGCGAGGCTCCTGATGTCTGGTCTGAGGGTTTAAAAAAGCTCCCTAACAGAGCAAAAAAGCTCAGAAAGACTACACATTCTATTTAGCTAAATCAGGCACGTGAAAAAGCCGAATTATACACGTGCATAAGAAGGTAAAATAACTCGCTGGAAGACGAACAGCTAGTCATTATGTAGCACATTCAGGATCCCACCTAAAAATTCAGTTTGCCCCCCCGATGTTTCACAAAATAAATAAATAGCTAGCAAGTAGGGTCAGAAGATCACAGCAGAACATGTTGCTTCAGCATCTCCTAAATAAGTATTTAATTATTATTTATTTATTAGTATTATTTATTTAATGTTTATTGTAGTGACTGTTTGTGGCCAAGAGGGGGCCCCCCAAATCTCAGGGGCCTCACATAAATGCACGGCTTGAGTGCTGGCAAACACAGACGCTGAGCAGGGCATGATGGTGTAATGAATGCTGCATGATTAGCCAGCACGCACACGCATGTAGACGGCCGGCAGCAGCAGGGAGGCCACGAACACACGGCACGGAGTCACACTCAGACCAGTAATTCACATTCTGTGTGATGGAACAAATTAAAAAATGGAAAAAACTTTATCTGTAACCTTGTGAAGGAGACAGAATTAGGATGGGGGGAGTAAGACCCTGAGGGGGGGTTCATCCAGTATGTAAAGGAAACTAGTAAACTTTTGTATCACACCATAGTTACTGTAACACAGTCACCGGCTTCATGCTAATGCCTGTTTGCATGTTTACATGCGTGTGCATGTGACAGACTCACATGTCATCAAGCTCTGTACAACACGTGTGTCTGCTGAAACAGAAGTCTTGCCGTGGGGGAGTTATCAGTCTCTGTGGCCTGGGGTCAGGGACTGACACATTTAAATGTCAGGGTGGATCCAGCCTTACCCAACCCACGTGTGTCTCAGAGAGAGGTGTTAGGTTTGACACCTGACCACAAGTCAAAGACGGGCTTTCGGTTGATAGGACAGGGAACAGTCACACAGCCACACAAAGACACCAAACAGGCCCTAGCATCCTGTACGCATTTGGCTTTGCATGTTTCTGTGCAGCTTGTACCTGATGTAGCTCCCTCTGCTGCTGGACGGTCTCCACGTCGCCCCCTATGGGCAGCTGCTCTGACAGCTCCTCGTCCTTCCCGGTCAGCCACTCGATGATCTCCTGCAGGGACAGCTGCAGCTTCCCACTGTTGTCCGATAAGGCCTCCAGACGCACCCTGGGGGTAGAGAGGACACTCACCTGACTCAGATGGGGGGGTGTACTGGACTAGGTGATGCCGGTAAGCTGAGGAGAAGCACAGCTGGCAAAGAAAACCATGAGCCCTCCCCATTTGGGCCGTGGGGTTAACCGGCTTTTAAACTCCATTGCTAGGCCATAGTTTAGGGGAGGGTGGTGATTTTAGATGCCTGTATGTTGTCCCACAGTTCAACCAGCATAATACCAGTGGTGGTATTAAAAAAAAACACTAACAAGAAGTGTCACTGCAAAAAAAGTAAACTATGCTAAGTTAAAACAAAACTTGCCAAAAGTGCTGGCTCCTTTTTCTCACTGCAATGTGACTCACGGGGAGACAGCTCTTCACTGTACAGTGAGGAGGGGTATGCCCCCCCGCCCCTCAAACTAAAATCCTCCAGCGAAACTCTGGAGAGCCAGAGTGAGATCCAGACTCGTCTCAGGCGGACACTGTGGCCTGGGCTGCTGTCTGCAGTGCGGACACTGTGGCCTGGGCTGCTGTCTGCAGTGCGGACACTGTGGCC